TGTGTGTGTGTCACTGTGTGTGTGTGTGTGTGCCACTGTGTGTGTGTCACTGTGTGTGTCTGGGTGTGTGTGTGTGTGTATCTCACTGTGTGTGTGTGTATCTCACTGTGTGTGTGTCACGGTGTGTGTGTGTGTATCACTCTGTGTGTGTGTGTCTGTGTGTGTGTCACTGTGTGTGTATCTCACTGTGTGTATCTCACGGTGTGTGTCACTGTGTGTGTGTGTGTGTCTGTGTGTGTATCTCACTGTGTGTGTCTCACTGTGTGTGTGTCACTGTGTCTGTGTGTATCTCACTGTGTGTGTCACTGTGTGTGTGTGTCACTGTGTGTGTGTGTATCTCACTGTGTGTGTCACTGTGTGTGTGTGTCACTGTGTGTGTGTGTATCTCACTGTGTGTGTCACTGTGTGTGTGTGTCACTGTGTGTGTGTGTATCTCACTGTGTGTGTCACTGTGTGTGTGTGTCACTGTGTGTGTGTGTATCTCACTGTGTGTGTGTGTCACTGTGTGTGTGTGTCACTGTGTATCTCACTGTGTGTGTCACTGTGTGTGTGTCACTGTGTGTGTGTCACTGTGTGTGTGTCACTGTGTGTGTGTCACTGTGTGTGTCTCACTGTGTGTGTGTGTGTCACTGTGTGTGTGTGTCACTGTGTGTGTGTCACTGTGTCTGTGTGTGTGTCACTGTGTGTGTGTCACTGTGTGTGTGTCACTGTGTGTGTGTGTGTGTCACTGTGTGTGTGTCACTGTGTGTGTGTCACTGTGTGTGTGTCACTGTGTGTGTGTCACTGTGTTTGTGTCTGTGTGTGTGTGTCACTGTGTGTGTGTCACTGTGTGTGTGTCACTGTGTGTGTGTCACTGTGTGTGTGTCACTGTGTGTGTGTCACTGTGTGTGTGTCACTGTGTGTGTGTCACTGTGTGTGTATCACTGTGTGTATCTCACTGTGTGTGTGTCACTGTGTGTGTGTGTCACTGTTTATCTCACTGTGTGTGTGTCACTGTGTGTGTGTGTGTCACTGTGTGTATCTCACTGTGTGTGTGTCACTGTGTGTGTGTCACTGTGTGTGTATCACTGTGTGTATCTCACTGTGTGTGTGTCACTGTGTGTGTGTGTCACTGTTTATCTCACTGTGTGTGTGTCACTGTGTGTGTGAGTGTCACTGTGTGTATCTCACTGTGTGTGTGTCACTGTGTGTGTGTCACTGTGTGTGTGCCACTGTGTGTATCTCACTGTGTGTGTGTCACTGTGTGTGTGTCACTGTGTGTGTGTCACTGTGTGTGTATCACTGTGTGTATCTCACTGTGTGTGTATCTCACTGTGTGTGTCTGTGTGTGTGTCACTGTGTGTATCTCACTGTGTGTGTGTCTGTGTGTGTATCTCACTGTGTATCTCACTGTGTGTATCTCACTGTGTGTGTGTCACTGTGTGTGTGTCACTGTGTGTGTATCACTGTGTGTATCTCACTGTGTGTGTGTCACTGTGTGTGTGTGTCACTGTTTATCTCACTGTGTGTGTGTCACTGTGTGTGTGAGTGTCACTGTGTGTATCTCACTGTGTGTGTGTCACTGTGTGTGTGTCACTGTGTGTGTGCCACTGTGTGTATCTCACTGTGTGTGTGTCACTGTGTGTGTGTCACTGTGTGTGTGTCACTGTGTGTGTATCACTGTGTGTATCTCACTGTGTGTGTATCTCACTGTGTGTGTCTGTGTGTGTGTCACTGTGTGTATCTCACTGTGTGTGTGTCTGTGTGTGTATCTCACTGTGTATCTCACTGTGTGTATCTCACTGTATCTCACTGTGTGTGTCTGTGTGTGTGTCACTGTGTGTATCTCACTGTGTGTGTGTCTGTGTGTGTATCTCACTGTGTGTATCTCACTGTATCTCACTGTGTGTGTATCTCACTGTGTGTGTGTGCAGGTTGATCCGCATAGCCCCCATGTACTACGACCTGTATGTGTGTCACTGTGTGTGTATCTCACTGTGTGTGTCACTGTGTGTGTCACTGTGTGTGTGTGTCACTGTGTGTGTGTATCTCACTGTGTGTGTGTGTGTCACTGTGTGTGTGTCACTGTGTGTATCTCACTGTGTGTGTGTCTGTGTGTGTATCTCACTGTGTGTGTGTATCTCACTGTGTGTCTCACTGTGTATCTCACTCTGTGTGTATCTCACTGTGTGTGTGTGCAGGTTGATCCGCATAGCCCCCATGTACTACGACCTGTATGTGTGTCACTGTGTGTGTGTGTGTCACTGTGTCTGTGTGTGTATACCTCACTGTGTGTGTATCTCACTGTGTGTGTCTGTGTGTATCTCACTGTGTGTGTGTGTGCAGGTTGATCCGCATAGCCCCCATGTACTACGACCTGTATGTGTGTCACTGTGTGTGTGTGTGTCACTGTGTGTGTCACTGTGTGTGTGTATCTCACTGTGTGTGTGTATCTCACTGTGTGTGTGTCACTGTGTGTGTGTGTATCTCACTGTGTGTGTCACTGTGTGTGTCACTGTGTGTGTGTGTCACTGTGTGTGTATCTCACTGTGTGTGTGTGTGTGTGTCACTGTGTGTGTCACTGTGTGTGTGTATCTCACTGTATGTGTGTCACTGTGTGTGTATCTCACTGTATCTCACTGTGTGTGTATCTCACTGTGTGTGTGTCTGTGTGTGTATCTCACTGTGTATCTCACTGTGTGTGTATCTCACTGTATCTCACTGTGTGTGTATCTCACTGTGTGTGTGTGTGTGTCACTGTGTGTATCTCACTGTGTGTGTGTCTGTGTGTGTATCTCACTGTGTATCTCACTGTGTGTATCTCACTGTATCTCACTGTGTGTGTCTGTGTGTGTGTCACTGTGTGTATCTCACTGTGTGTGTGTCTGTGTGTGTATCTCACTGTGTGTATCTCACTGTATCTCACTGTGTGTGTGTCACTGTGTGTGTGTCACTGTGTGTGTATCACTGTGTGTGTATCACTGTGTGTATCTCACTGTGTGTGTGTATCTCACTGTGTGTGTCTGTGTGTGTGTCACTGTGTGTATCTCACTGTGTGTGTGTCTGTGTGTGTATCTCACTGTGTATCTCACTGTGTGTATCTCACTGTATCTCACTGTGTGTGTATCTCACTGTGTGTGTGTGTCTCACTGTATCTCACTGTGTGTGTATCTCACTGTGTGTATGTGTCACTGTGTGTGTGTGTCTCACTGTATCTCACTGTGTGTGTATCTCACTGTGTGTGTGTGCAGGTTGATCCGCATAGCCCCCATGTACTACGACCTGTATGTGTGTCACTGTGTGTGTGTGTGTCACTGTGTCTGTGTGTGTATACCTCACTGTGTGTGTATCTCACTGTGTGTGTCTGTGTGTATCTCACTGTGTGTGTGTGTGTCACTGTGTGTATCTCACTGTGTGTGTATCTCACTGTGTGTGTGTATCTCACTGTGTGTGTCTCACTGTATCTCACTGTGTGTGTATCTCACTGTGTGTGTGTGCAGGTTGATCCGCATAGCCCCCATGTACTACGACCTGTATGTGTGTCACTGTGTGTGTGTGTGTCACTGTGTCTGTGTGTGTATACCTCACTGTGTGTGTATCTCACTGTGTGTGTATCTCACTGTATCTCACTGTGTGTGTATCTCACTGTGTGTGTGTGCAGGTTGATCCGCATAGCCCCCATGTACTACGACCTGTATGTGTGTCACTGTGTGTGTATCTCACTGTGTGTGTCACTGTGTGTGTCACTGTGTGTGTGTGTCACTGTGTGTGTGTATCTCACTGTGTGTGTGTGTGTCACTGTGTGTGTGTCACTGTGTGTGTCACTGTGTGTGTGTATCTCACTGTGTGTGTATCTCACTGTGTGTGTCTCACTGTGTATCTCACTCTGTGTGTATCTCACTGTGTGTGTGTGCAGGTTGATCCGCATAGCCCCCATGTACTACGACCTGTATGTGTGTCACTGTGTGTGTGTGTGTCACTGTGTCTGTGTGTGTATACCTCACTGTGTGTGTATCTCACTGTGTGTGTATCTCACTGTATCTCACTGTGTGTATCTCACTGTGTGTGTATCTCACTGTGTGTGTGTATCTCACTGTGTGTGTGTGTGTGTCACTGTGTGTGTCACTGTGTGTGTGTATCTCACTGTGTGTGTGTGTCACTGTGTGTGTCACTGTGTGTGTGTATCTCACTGTGTGTGTGTATCTCACTGTGTGTGTCTCACTGTGTGTATCTCACTGTGTGTGTATCTCACTGTGTGTGTGTGTGTGCAGGTTGATCCGCATAGCCCCCATGTACTACGACCTGTATGTGTGTCACTGTGTGTGTGTGTGTCACTGTGTGTGTCACTGTGTGTGTGTATCTCACTGTGTGTGTCACTCTGTGTGTATCTCACTCTGTGTGTATCTCACTGTGTGTGTGTGTGTGCAGGTTGATCCGCATAGCCCCCATGTACTACGACCTGTATGTGTGTCACTGTGTGTGTGTGTGTCACTGTGTCTGTGTGTGTATACCTCACTGTGTGTGTATCTCACTGTGTGTGTCTGTGTGTATCTCACTGTGTGTGTGTGTGCAGGTTGATCCGCATAGCCCCCATGTACTACGACCTGTATGTGTGTCACTGTGTGTGTGTGTGTCACTGTGTCTGTGTGTGTATACCTCACTGTGTGTGTATCTCACTGTGTGTGTCTGTGTGTATCTCACTGTGTGTATCTCACTGTGTGTGTATCTCACTGTGTGTATGTGTCACTGTGTGTGTGTGTCTCACTGTGTCTCACTCTGTGTGTGTATCTCACTGTGTGTCTCACTGTGTATCTCACTGTGTGTGTATCTCACTGTGTGTGTGTGTGTGCAGGTTGATCCGCATAGCCCCCATGTACTACGACCTGTATGTGTGTCACTGTGTGTGTATCTCACTGTGTGTGTGTGTGTGTGTATCTCACTGTGTCTGTGTGTGTATCTCACTGTGTATCTCACTGTGTGTATCTCACTGTGTGTGTATCTCACTGTGTGTGTGTGTGCAGGTTGATCCGCATAGCCCCCATGTACTACGACCTGAGCAACTTCCCCCAGTGTGAAGCTCGCCGCCAACTTGAGAGGATCGCCGGCAAGCTGGAGAGCAAAGAGTACAGCCAGTACTGATCACAGAGACACACAGAGAGACAGAGAGACAGGGGAGAGAGACACAGAGACAGGGGAGAGACAGGGGAGAGAGACACAGAGAGAGAGCAAAGAGTACAGCCAGTACTAAACACAGAGAGACAGGGGAGAGAGACAGAGACACACAGAGAGACAGAGAGACAGGGGAGAGACAGGGGAGAGAGAGACACAGAGAGAGAGCAAAGAGTACAGCCAGTACTGATCACAGAGAGACAGGGGAGAGAGACAGAGACACACAGAGAGACAGAGAGACAGGGGAGAGACAGCGGAGAGAGAGACACACAGAGAGAGCAAAGAGTACAGCCAGTACTGATCACAGAGAGACAGGGGAGAGAGACAGAGACACACAGAGAGACAGAGACAGGGGAGAGAGAGACACAGAGAGAGAGCAAAGAGTACAGCCAGTACTGATCACAGAGAGACAGGGGAGAGAGACAGAGACACACAGAGAGACAGAGAGACAGGGGAGAGACAGGGGAGAGAGAGACACAGAGAGAGAGCAAAGAGTACAGCCAGTACTGATCACAGAGAGACAGGGGAGAGAGACAGAGACACACAGAGAGACAGAGAGACAGGGGAGAGACAGCGGAGAGAGAGACACACAGAGAGAGCAAAGAGTACAGCCAGTACTGATCACAGAGAGACAGGGGAGAGAGACAGAGACACACAGAGAGACAGAGACAGGGGAGAGAGAGACACAGAGAGAGAGCAAAGAGTACAGCCAGTACTGATCACAGAGAGACAGGGGAGAGAGACAGAGACACACAGAGAGACAGAGACAGGGGAGAGACAGCGGAGAGAGAGACACACAGAGAGAGCAAAGAGTACAGCCAGTACTGATCACAGAGACACAGAGACAGGGGAGAGAGACACAGAGACAGGGGAGAGACAGGGGAGAGAGACAGAGACACAGAGAGAGCAAAGAGTACAGCCAGTACTGATCACGGAGACACAGAGACAGGGGAGAGACAGGGGAGAGACAGAGAGACAGGGGAGAGAGAGACAGAGACACAGAGACACAGGGGAGAGACAGAGAGACACACAGACCGAGAGCAAAGAGTACAGCCAGTACTGAACACAGAGACACAGGGGAGAGACAGAGACAGGGGAGAGACAGAGACAGGGGAGAGACAGAGACAGGGGAGAGACAGAGACAGGGGAGAGACAGAGACAGGGGAGAGACAGAGACAGGGGAGAGACAGAGACACAGAGACAGGGGAGAGACAGAGACACAGAGACAGGGGAGAGACAGAGAGAGACAGAGAGAGCAAAGAGTACAGCCAGTACTGAACACAGAGACAAGGGAGACACAGAGACAGGGGAGAGACACACAGAGACAGGGGAGAGACACAGAGACAGGGGAGAGAGAGACACAGAGAGAGACAGAGAGAGCAAAGAGTACAGCCAGTACTGAACAGAGACACAGGGGAGACACAGGGGAGACACAGAGAGACAGGGGAGAGAGAGACACACAGAGACAGGGGAGAGAGAGACACACAGAGACACAGAGACAGGGGAGAGACAGGGGAGAGACAGAGAGAGCAAAGAGTACAGCCAGCACTGAACACAGAGACAGGGGAGACACAGAGACAGGGGAGAGAGAGACAGAGACACACAGAGACAGGGGAGAGAGAGACAGACACACAGAGACAGGGGAGAGAGAGACACACAGAGAGACAGGGGAGACACACAGAGACAGGGGAGACACACAGAGGCAGGGGAGAGAGAGACACACAGAGACACAGAGAGACAGGGGAGACACACAGAGACAGGGGAGACACACAGAGACAGGGGAGAGAGACACACACACAGAGACACACAGAGACAGGGGAGAGAGAAACAGAGACACACAGAGACAGGGGAGAGAGAAACAGAGACACACAGAGACAGGGGAGAGAGAAACAGAGACACACAGAGAGAGACACAGAGACACAGAGAGAGCAAAGAGTACAGCCAGTACTGAGCACAGAGACACACAGGGACAGAGACACACAGAGACAGAGAGAGACACACACAGAGAGACACACAGAGACAGAGAGACACACAGAGACAGAGAGACAGAGAGATACAGAGAGAGAGACAGGGGAGAGAGACAGACAGAGACACAGCGACAGAGAGACACAGATAGACAGACAGAGAGACACAGAGACAGCGGAGAGACAGGGGAGAGACTCCCAGTACTGAGAGCCAGAGAGGAGTACAGTGCTATACAACTTGTCCCTTTGAACTGTCACTCACTCAGACACTCACTCAGACACTCACTCAGACACTCACTCAGACACTCACTCAGACACTCACTCAGGCACTCACTCAGACACTCAGACACTCAGACACTCACTCAGACACTCACTCACTCAGACACTCACTCAGACACTCACTCAGACACTCACTCACTCAGACACTCACTCAGACACTCACTCAGGCACTCACTCAGACACTCAGACACTCACTCAGACACTCACTCAGACACTCACTCAGACACTCACTCACTCAGACACTCACTCACTCAGACACTCACTCAGACACTCACTCAGGCACTCACTCAGGCACTCACTCAGACACTCAGACACTCAGACACTCACTCAGACACTCACTCAGACACTCGCTCACTCAGACACTCACTCAGACACTCAGACATTCACTCACTCAGACACTCACACAGACACTAACTCAGGCACTCACACTCAGACACTCACTCAGACACTCACTCAGACACTCACTCACTCTCTCACCCTCTCTCTCACTCAGACACTCACTCACTCAGACACTCACTCACTCAGACACTCACTCAGACACTCACTCACTCACTGAGACACTCAGACACTCACTCAGACACTCAGACACTCGCTCACTCAGACACTCACTCAGACATTCACTCAGACACTCACTGAGACACTCAGACACTCACTCAGACACTCACTCAGACACTCGCTCACTCAGACACTCACTCAGACATTCACTCACTCAGACACTCACTCAGACACTCACTCAGACACTCACTCAGACACTCCGACACTCACTCAGACACTCACTCAGACACTCCGACACTCACTCAGACACTCACTCACTCAGACACTCACTCAGACACTCAGACACTCACTCAGTCACTCACTCACTCAGACACTCACTCACTCAGACACTCACTCACTCAGACACTCACTCAGTCACTCACTCAGCTACCCACTCACTCAGACACTCACTCAGACACACTCAGACACTCAGACACTCACTCACTGAGACACTCAGACACTCACTCAGACACTCAGACACACTCACTCAGACACTCACTCAGACACTCACTCAGTCACTCACTCACTCAGACACTCACTGAGACACTCACTCAGTCACTCACTCACTCAGACACTCACTCACTCAGACACTCACTCACTCAGACACTCACTCAGTCACTCACTCAGCTACCCACTCACTCAGACACTCACTCAGACACTCAGACACTCACTCACTGAGACACTCAGACACTCACTCAGACACTCAGACACACTCACTGAGACACTCACTCAGACACTCACTCAGACACACTCACTCAGACACTCAGACACTCACTCAGACACTCACTCAGACACTCACTCAGACACTCACTCACTCTCTCACCCTCTCTCTCACTCCCCTCTCTCCCCCCTCTCATCGCGTTATGGAGGTGGGTCCTGTCACGTGACCCCGGGGTCACGTGGTCACCGCGGTGAGCTTGTTGTGGTGAGTGTTGTGGTGAGTGTTGTGGTGAGCTTGTTGTGGTGAGTGTTGTGGTGAGTTGTGGTGAGGAGTCGGTGACCCCGTGACCTCAGGTTGTGGTCAGAGGTCAGGCCACGTGTGTTGGGGTTAGGGGTCATGGGTTAGGGGTTAGGGGTCATGGGTTAAGGGTTAGGGGTCATGGGTTAGGGATTGATAAACGTCGTTTTTTTTTACTCCTCTATGCCCCGCCTCCTTCATCCCCCCCACCCACCCACCCACTCACCCACCCACCCACTCACCCACTCACCCACCCACTCACCCACCCACTCACCCACTCACTCACCCACCCACCCACTCACCCACCCACCCACTCACCCACCCACCCACTCACTCACCCACTCACCCACCCACTCACCCACCCACTCACCCACTCACTCACCCACCCACCCACTCACCCACCCACCCACTCACCCACCCACCCACTCACTCACCCACTCACCCACCCACTCACCCACCCACTCACCCACTCACTCACCCACCCACCCACTCACCCACCCACCCACACACCCACCCACCCACTCACTCACCCACTCACCCACCCACTCACCCACCCACTCACCCACTCAACCACTCACCCACTCAACCACTCACCCACCCACTCACCCACCCACTCACCCACTCACCCACCCACTTACACACTCACCCACCCACCCACTCACCCACTCACCCACTCACCCACCCACTCACCCACCCACTCACCCACCCACTCACCCACCCACCCACTCACCCACTCACCCACCCACTCACCCACTCACCCACTCACCCACTCACCCACCCACTCACTCACCCAGCCACTCACTCAACCACTCACTCACTCACCCACTCAACCACCCACTCAACCACTCGCTCACCCACTCGCTCACCCACTCTTTCACCCACTCAACTACCCACTCACCCACCCACTCACTCACCCACCCACTCATTCACCCACTCAACCACCCACCCACTCACCCACCCACCCTCTCACCCACCCACCCACCCACTCACCCACCCACTCATTCACCCACTCAACCACCCACCCACTCACCCACCCACCCACCCACTCACCCACCCACTCACCCACCCACCCACTCACCCACCCACTCACCCACTCACTCACCCTCCCACCCACCCACTCAACCACTCACCCACTCACCCACCCTCTCACCCACCCACTCATTCACCCACCCACCCCTCCCACCCCTCCCCTCCCCCATTCAATAATAAACGTGACCACGCCCCATCTCGTCTCGCGTCCTCATTGGCTACTTGGTACACAGCTGAAGGTGAAGCTCCCCCAGGTAGCCTCTAGCAGGGCTGTAGGGGCAAGTGCTGAGACAGACAAAGCTCCCCCAGGTAGCC